GTCTACAATTGCATAAGAAATAAATGACGTCTCCGAGACGTCATTGTATGTCAAGTGGTTAAGAAACGAATTAGAAATAAAACAAAATGTATAAAAGAAAGAAAATTCAAAATGTTCAGATCGAGCGAGTAATGAGAATGAGAGAGAAAGAAAAAAAGAAAAGAAAAAATAGCGGGTCTTATACACATACGACGAACGACGGGAAGCATAGGAAACGTTTTCCAATTTCCACGTTTCATTGGCACGGACACGACAACAGCACGTCGACTTTGCGAACGAGAGAACTGTTCCGTTCGATCGATTCGTGCTCCTTTATAACTCTCACGTTGTTACTCGCGATACCAACGGTTTGATGGTTTCTAAATGTTTTTCTACGAATTCAATGGAATACCCCTTCTTTATTTATATTTTAACATCATACAAAAAACAAAATATAAATAAGCGTATATTACAATATTTAGAAATAAATAACTAAGAATATGATTGATGGATAGGGGTAGTTGGGATTTTTGGGGATTGATTGGTACAAAAAATGTATATTTTTTACCACGTTAAAGAAACCTTAAATTAACGTTTACGATCGTATACTATTTGCGTCATTCTTGTTTATTATTTTTTTAGTTGTTGTCAAAACAACAACGATAACAAAAACAAACAAACAAAAAATAGAAGAAGGGAATGAAAGAAAGAAAGAAAGAAAGGAAGAAAAAGGGGAGGGAAAATAAAAAAAAAGAAAAAATAAAAGAAACTTCATCTCGTCGTTGAGTTCGCGAATTTCATGAAAAGGAATGTACCTAGGATTCTTCTTCTCTCTCTCATCGGCGAATTACTTTCCTCTCGAAACCAGCAGCTTTTTCCCCGCTTTGACAATGAAAACAGAAAGAAAGAAAGAAAGAAAGAAAGAAAGAAAGAAAGAAAGAAAGAGAGAGAGAGAGAGAGAGAGAGAGAAAGAAGGGTAAAAGAGAGAAGTTAGGTACCTATTAGTGGTAGTAGTCGGTCTGTCGGCATGGCCGCGTTATCCTCTGGAAGGTCTCCATTCCCTTCTTTCCCTTTCTCTAGCAGTCTTTCCGCCCCCGTCCATTAATTAACAGGCTTTGTACTTTTAAACGATGTTAAATAAACGCCATTGTCCGTCGGCGAAAGGACTGAAAAGCAAGCGCCATTGTGCTTTAAGCTCGTCGTCGTCGTCGTCGTCGTCGTCGTCGTCGTAGTCGACGTCATCGTCGTCGTCGTAGTCGTAGTCGTCGTTTTCAAAACGACGAAGAGAAGAAATAAGAGAAAGAGAGAATATAACCTGTACTAGTACTAACACCGTCAGTGCTACTACTACTTTACTGCTGCTACTGCTACTACTGCTGCTAGTGCTACTGCTGCTACTGCTGCTGTTGCTGCTGCTGCTGGGAAGCCTTTGTTCTAAACAAATACACCGAGCTACCACCCCCTTCTCTTACCCTCCACCAACCCGTCACTCTTGACTACCCTCTAACTCTACCCACCACCACCTTCTTCGTCACTCTACCACCTGCCTTTCTAACGAGAAAACGCGTATCGATTGGATAAAGCATAATACTATAAATAGACTAAGTACACTTGACATTTCGACGATTCTACAGAGCTTTTTTACGAATTCTCTTCAAACGATCCTTTTTTTTTTTAACCTTCTTATTTTTCTTTTTTTTTTTTTTTTTTGACTAATTTCATGAGTAAGAAGAAAAAGAAGAAGAAACTTATGATAATTGATCGTAGTGTTGATGTCAATGTAAATTATTCATCATGACGATGAAAATCAAGAATTTTGTTTGTATTTTTTTGTCTCTCTTTCTCTCTTCTTTTTTTCTCTTTCTGTTCTTCTATGTTTTTTGTTTTTCTTTTTCTGTACCATTCTTTCCGATTCATTGTAAGTCACCACGTATTCGTATTGTTTAGTCTCTATGTGCCTCGATATATGTAGAAAGCAACTCTCTTCCCATTGTCATAGTCTACTGCTTGCAAACTACGACTATGAGAGAAATAGAAAGAGAAAGAGAAAGAGAAAGAGAAAGAGAAAGATAGATAGAGAAAGAGTAAAAAGGTCTCGCGAACAACGTCGATTCATTCTCCCTCTCCCTTTCTCTTGTTCTCGTTTCTTCCATCCACTGTAATTTCTTCCACTCTTCCTCGCACGAAGAATTTGCACGCGTGCACCTCTATCTTTCGTATCGAGGACTTTTATTATTTTTCCTTTTCTTTCCTTTCCCTTTTATTTCCTTTCTCGATACCTCAGAGTTCTCAATCGCCATGTTGTTGTCACCGTTGTTGTTGCTGTTGCTATTACTGTTGTATGTGTTCGTTGTTACTACTGTGTTGATATTGTATCCTTGAAATATATATAGAAGATACCTTATGCTATGGATATATTAGTTACAATCGTACAATTTTGGAATGCATTTTCTTCAGGCATACTTTTTAAGGGACATTAGAAACTTTTCTTTCAACTCTTATGATTTCTTTTTCCTATATGTGTATTTCTTCTTAGTCCTTGCAAAAGAGATTTCTTTAGAAATAAAATGTAATATCATTCGTAAATATCATATCATATCATATCGTAAATATTATTGTTAAATATATTTATTTTATAACAAATAACCGATGAACACACACACAATTAATTTATCATATCGTTGCATAATTTTTGTCCTTTTTTTTTTTTAAACAGCATTTGATTTGTTGCACTGTATAAGTCGAATATTATATTTTTCGTTAGAAATGAACATTCAATATTTTGTTTTAGATAGTGACAAATTATTGATAATAATGATAGATGTATCGTTAATCAAATAAATGTTTTTGCAATTTTTTTTTGTCGATAGCCGATACGAATTGAATTTATGACAGAAATAATTTTAGAAAAACCGATAGAAAGATTTCATTTCAAATATAACGTTAGTATTATGTTACTTACATTCTTTCTTCGAATAGAGTCTTTTGTTCATATTAAACGTTTAATCAGATAAATAAATGAATATATGAATAAATAAATAAATAATTAAATATATAGAGATTTGTTTTTGTTAAATTTTGTCAAAAGTATAAAAGCAAGCAACATTGTTCTTGTCAACGAATCTCAACGATTGTATACATAATATAATATCAATACTAACTTCGAAACTGACAGGTATACAACTATAAACGCATATGTATAGGTTAGATAGAAAGCGTTTCGCAGGATACAACCAGGGTTTCGTTCTCTCTTTGTTCTCGATGCCGGCGGAGCACCAACAACAAGTGGTAATTAATTCCCAGTGAAACAATTCTCGTTGGTGGCGAGAGAGAAAGCTTCGCGACACGAAGCTCGAGGGTCGTAAAAGCGTTTCGCTATGCGAGCACAGCAACAAGCTTTGCTTTACGTGTTAGCGATTCTCTTCGCACGTTTCTCTCTCTCTCTCTTTTATATATATTTTTAAATTATTTCTTTTTCTTTCTTTCGTTTATCTAGTAAAATAGAATGTGAGTTTAAATTTTCTGCTTAATCAAAATTAATCATCGAACAATATAAATTTGAAATAATCTTTATACATAAAAATTCAGTGTCACATTGTTGATTTCTTATAGATTTTGAAACTACTGAACCAATCTTGATGAAATATTTTTGATTTTGTGTGATTTTTTTCAACTTACAATATGGGATAGTTTTTATCGTGATTATTTCTATTTTTTATTGCTGATTTAAGGATTTATTATTTAGTGGTTATCTAAGTTTTTAGGTACTGGAAGTTTTCAACAGATGACACTATATCACAATTCGATTATTTCGCTATATTCATGCCATACGTTCTTTTCAAATTTACATGCGACATAACCTTACTTTTTCTGTTTTCTCTAATATTATTATTTTATGTATTATATTCTAATTGCGGAATTATATTTTGTGTTAAACAGTTTAGAACAGTTTTAGTCTTGTTAAACTAAATAGTTTAGAATTATATTAAATTAACATTGTATAATAAAGACACAGAAACGCGTGATCGGAGTATCATATAAATACAAGAATAATATTAATAAACTATTTAATTTTTGTACTTTTTTTTACCGGGTAGAGGAGAAGGGGTAGGTTTGAAACTTTGATTCGCATGTTCGGTAGTCTACCATCGAATGGGAAAATAGAGGGAAATATAGAAAATCGGGATCTGTGTGGAAAGGGGGTTGGAACTGGTGGTTGGGTAAATGGTTAAGGGGAGAAAAGGTGGGATGGAAGTGGTGAGGGAGGAGGTAAAAATGGTGGGACGAAACGTAGTCGATAATAATCGACGCGCCATTAAACAATGCACAACATCCGCACGTCGATCAATTCAATCATAACGCTCGTGTCCACCAGTCTCGACTAGGACAACGACAGAATCGCGATGCAAGCGACGCTTCAACCACGAACAAATGTAGTACATCCACCAATGGCCTTTGTATTCATTGATCCAAAGCGTTATTCGTGTAACTATAACAGTGGGAGGTTTACAAAGTGCGTGTTGTTGTCATCGTCATCATTCCTCTTTCTCTCACCCTCACCCTCCCTCCCACACACACTCTCTCTCTCTCTCTCTCTTTCTATTTTTCTTTTACCTTTTCATCACAATTTTCGAACAGTTTTGTACTGTTTTCATTACAACCATAATCCATCCAATGTATTGTCTCTTTCTCTCTTTCTCTTTCTTCCATTTATTAAACAAGACTTTTCAACAAATTTATCAATTATCTATTTCAGAGATTTTTATTTCAATATTATATATCGAATATTAATAAAATATTATTTTACATTTCGCACTTATAAAGCCAGTTTAAGGTCTATTCATGGTAATCAAAGGTATTTCTATTTATTCGGATAGTATCAATTAATTGTAAAGAATCGTTCCTTATATACTTTTTCTGTTATTTAGAAAACTAATTTAAAAATGACGTTAGAGTTGATTAACAGTCTATAATCTAATTGTTTGAAATTTATTCATATGTTTGTTTTATTTTGATTTTAGGTGCAGAATGGAAACTACTTTCGGAAGACGAAAAACGACCATTCATCGATCAAGCGAAAAGGTTACGAGCTCAACACATGAAAGAATATCCTGATTACAAATACAGGCCTAGAAGGAAACCTAAAACCCTACGGAAAGAAGGTTACCCTTATAGTATCCCTTATCCGAGTGTACCGATGGACGCCCTGCGAGCAGGTACGCCAATAGGAAACTATTGGGTTGGCAACTAAGTTATTGCTGGTTATCAAAATCCACCTATCGACAAAATCAGCAATCATTTATTTGACAGCCCAATATTTATAATGCACACTGTGTATTATATTCCTATTTTAATCAACTTTTTCTACTTTCTATCTTAACAAATGTAAAAAATAATTTGTCAAACTTTTTCCATTTACAGCGAATCCCTTTAACAACAGACAAATAATTCTTATTATTCTAATTTTAAATATTATTTTCTATTTTATTATTATAAATTTATGGACATATTAAATGCGTAATATTCCATATCTAATTTTGAACGTTTTATTTATTTTAACGACTCTAGACGAAATCGTTACGATTGCATGAACAATTTTGCATATTGTTAATTATTGTATTAACGAAATTTTTTTATATTAACGAACGAATTTTAATTAACGAACAGGAAAAAATTGCAATACTCTGTTCGAATAATTTCTAAAAAAACAAAACACATACCTAGTTGATATAATTCATCGAAAATAAAAAATTTATCAATAAAATAATAAAAATCCAACAACAACGCGCACCTTTAATCGAAAAGGGGAATAAAAAAATAGTTGTTGGTAGTCTTTGATATTCTTACCTTATCGAATCTCTTTTCTTTTCTTTCATTGTATCTTTTACTCTTTCTCTTTTATCTTTCTCTCTCTCTCTCTCTCTCTCTCTTTCTCTCTCTAGAGGGTTAGATAGTATTTCGATCGCGTATTGTTATTTAGAAAGCACACACAGAGTGGTCTCGATGCCCTCGGGATAAACACGCTCGGAAATCTCATAATGGCGGTTTCGAAAAGTCGCTTTCCCCTTTTTATTTTTCTCTCTTTATCTCTCTCTCTCTCTCTCTTTCTCTCTCACACACACACATACATTTCTCTCATCTTTTTTTTCCCTTCGACTTCTTTTTATTTTCTTTTTTTCTTTGGCTAGCACGAACGATCCGGTAATGGCTCCTTCATTGTCCCGGTTTTCTTCTGGCATCAAAGATGCGCACTTCCGTTTCTCTTTCTTTCTTTATTTTTCCCTCTCTGTCTCTTTGTCTCTCTCTCTCTCTCTCTCTCTCTCTCTCTGTTTTCTTTATTTTTTCTCTTTCTTGCGTCGCGACTACGCGATGCTGCAACCGCGTCAACGAAACGTCCTGACAAATATCGTAAACTAACGAAAGAGAGTTCGTATTTTACACTTGCGTAAACAGATATCCTATGACGAAGCATTTGCGTCAAGAAAACGAATATTGTTCATTTCCATTCTTAATTATTATTTTATTATTTATTGTTTTATTTATTTAKTTATTTATTAACGTGTTATGTGTGTTTTTCTTGTTTCTTCTTCTTCCCGTAGAATCGAATCATCTGAATTAAAAATTGAACACATTTGTTATCTCTCTTTCTCTTTCTCACACTTTTTCTTTCATTTTTTATTTTTTATTTTTTTTTTTACTAAAAATCCAAATAGTTTTTCATCTATTTCTCTCTCTTTCTTTTTTCTTTCAAAATTAAAACCTTCAGACGGAGATCAAAATTTGTTTGTACCATTATCCGATTAACGATTTATTTCGAAAAAAAAAATAAAATAAAATATATGTATGTATATGTTTATAATTATACAACATTAATAGAATGTATCGATTAGTTAATCTTCTTCATTGTTATATAGATCTGTTCAATCAATCTATATCAGCTGTTGAATTCCGTCTGAATTAACGTATTGTAAGATTTTGTCTAATTGTAAATTTTGTTTTATATTCGTTATTAATTTTATTTATTACAAATTCATCGTAAATATCGTTACCTATTATATATTACATTTTCTTTATATATTTTTTTTTAATGTAATATATATATATATATATATATATATATATATATATATATTATTTATTATT